CTGAAGGATTCCGACCCCCACATACTGAGCCCGAACATCCCAAAGCGAGCGCGCCTTCGAGGAAGGAGCCTCCTCCAGATTGGGTTTAGGGGTTTAGGGGTTGGGGGTTTGGGGTTTGGGGGTTTAGGGTTTGGAGGTTTAGGGTTTAGGGGTTTAGGGTTTAGGGGTTTAGGGGTTTAGGGTTTAGGGTTTAGGGGTTTAGGGGTTTAGGGTTTAGGGGTTAGGCCCCCCGACGCGGCCCCTCCAGGCCCTCCAAAACCGGCACAGAAGCTCGTCGCAAACCCTCTACGAAAGGAATCTTTTAGCAAGGGCCATGTAGCAGATCGGTGTCCAGCCCGCTGCGTCACACTCATTCAGGTGCTGGAACCCGTTTTGATGCAGAAACCGATTCGTGTAGTTGCACCCTGGGGATCCTGGTCGGAGTGCGGGGCGTTCAGGGTTTCGGGCTTTCGGGTTTCGGGCTTTAGAGTAGAGGCCTGAAAGTTGAGGGTTTAGGGTTTGGTCTACGATTAGCTCGGCTAAGAAATCACTGGTCCAGCAGTGTGATGTTAAATCTAGACGAAAACCCTACCCGCCCTAAGAATCCCGTAACAACAAGGAAGCAGAAAATCGTGTTCTTACTCAACCGTGAAATTCTTTCGACCATCACTACATGTCAGTAATGTTGTAAGCACATACTCATACCAGCATCCTAACACGCAAAAATGCAACTAGCCATCTATCTCGACATAAACGCCGTAGGGATGCCCAATACGCACGCAGATGCCGCTCCCGCCAAGACCGGAAGCAGACCAGGGTCAACTTCAGGACATCGTTTGGTGGATTTAGCCAGTGGCTACTCCAGGATTAAGAGCCATGAGTCATGATGAAATGTCTGGAATCAGACATGCTGACTGCAGTTGCCTTGAGGCCTGACACTTCGTCGAAACTGCTCCGACTCAGTACGTCTTGCAGAAAGACAGGGGTCTGATGGAAGACAACAAACCCTCGAAGAGAGGGATCGAATGTTGAGAAGCATTTGGGGAGAGGCGGCTGGTCCAGCCCCACGAGTTCCAGTGCTATTACAATATATAAGGAAAGTATCTTCATATTATCGCCAGATATTGTAGATGCACAGCATGGTATACCCCCAAACGCGTAACTTCTGGTTCAGGCTTCTCTGTTATAGAATCCATATTATAGATCCCTTACAGAAATGCTTTGAAGCAACCCTTTACGGAAGCCTTTCAGGAGCCTGCCATTACTACGAGTATCACTATCCACTTTGCACTCTCCCGTGCTGTGCTCTGTCCTGTGCCATCGAAGCTGGGCACCAAGTCCTCCAAGCGGTTTTAGGGATCTAAGGCTCCGGTGTTGGTTTCGGGATTCGGGTCTAAAGTAGTGGTTACGGGTTTGGGGTTTAGGGTGGCTACGGATGCATGGACTTACAGGAAATTTCTGCGTTCAGAGTTTAGGGCTACAGGAGGCGATGGAGGTTCCGATTTGAAGGTTTGGGTTTCGGGGTGTAGGGAGGTTTCTTCGCATCTGCCGACTCAAGGAATTCTATTACTTTCATATCCTCTGAAGCGCTGGATAGAACCCTAAACCCCAAACTCTAAACTCTAAACCCTGAAGGAATCCCTCAGCAGGGTACCTAAAGATGAAAGCACTAACTCTATGGCAGCCCGTGCCTTAAATCCGAGCAATACCACAGTCTCAGATAGAAAACAGCCCAAGAAAAACGCAGCTTGGTGGGTTCGGGATTCGGAGCGTAGAGGCTTCAGTTCGTGTCGGGCTTAGGGCGTGAGGACTTCGTAGAATTGGGGGCTTGGGCACTAAGCCGTGATCTCAGAGCCCGAGGGTTTCAAGCTCCTCTGCACTAACTCTGGAAACCCATGAAAACAGCCTCGATGTCAAAGTATGAGATCGGCACATACACCGCGAAGGAAGCTTGGAACCCAGAGCACAGAAAAGCCGAACAAAATCAGCCGGGGCACCAATCTGTAGGAACTTGCTAACGCCTACATGCTAAACCTCAAGAAGCCAAGGCTACGAAAACGTGCAGCCCCAGTAACAGCATTGATCCCTTGCTGGCCATGCAGTTGGCCCGAAAATCCGAACTCTTTCAGGGTTTAGGGTTTCGGGTTTCGGATTTAAGGCTTTGGGGTTTGCTGAACCCTAGGCAGTTTACTGCTTGGGGTTCTGCCTAGGGTGTCTCGTTGTGTGCACACTTTGACATTTCAACTCTTCACTGACACACTCAAAGGAAGCAGACAGGATAGCGAAACAACTCCTGAAGACTGAAAGGTCCATCCCAAGCCATAAGCCCCCTCCGCCGCCCGCTACACACTCTTACAATCAGAGCCAGTCACCACCACAAAGCTTCATTATGGCATACCCCAGATACCTGGTCTCCCTACCAAGGCCCCCGATGTTAAACCTGAGACAGCTCACAGAGAGCGCGGCCAAAATCCGGCTCCTCCACACTGTGCACATGCAACCCGCGAAGACGTGCCCGCTGCTGATTCAACAGGAGCCGATACTTCGGAAAGTCTCCGTCCTTCCTTGGGGGCTTTGCTGATTCAGGGTTGTGCGGAAAAGTCAACAACAACAACAACAACAACAACAACAACAACAACAGGGCTTGGGGTTCAAGATCTTGGCTTGAAGGAGGGACCACTGGGAATAAGCTGCTTGTATCAGGGTTCATGTTTGGGAACAGGTAATTCAACCACGACCACCTGGAAGCCCGCAGCCGTCAAGCGCCCTGAAACCTATAAACCCTGGATCCGAAACAAAGAAATCACCCCAAAACCCGAAAAGCAAAGCTTGGGCTTTTCTGTTCTGGGCTTAGAATTGAGCGTGTTGAGGGTTTGAGCTTTGGGGTCGAAAGTCTCCAACGAATCGAAAAAGCTCTTGCAGGAGAGCATCAGCAAGGACGCGAGCTTGCCTGAGCTCTGGAGAGGCTGCATTTTGGTGCTCCGGAGTGGTTAGAGGCCAGAAGCCACTAGTCTAGGCTTAGGGTGTAAGACTTATAGTAAATCCTGCGGCCTTGCTTAAGCTAGGTCTCCAAAAACGTTGAATTTATGGAAGAAACAGAAAGAAACATGAGTGAGAGTACGAAAAGTAGGTCCCAGAAACCGATATGAAGCCTAATCTGGAAAATAAGAACAACACGAAAACCCCTGCGAAATCCAACGAAGTCACAAGAACAAGCACTTGTGTGTGGTTCATGTTTTTCTTGTACCTTTCCTAGAGCTCTCTAGCATTTTAGGGTTTAGGGTTTTAGGGTTTAGGGTTTAGGGTTTAAGGCTTACGGTTTAGGGTTTAGGGTTTAGGGGTTTAGGGGTTTAGGGGTTTAGGGGTTTAGGGGTTTCGGGTTTAGAGTTCGGCCAGCCGCGCAGGGCGGGCCCCTGCCCAGACCGGAAGCTGGCAAGCGGTCGGGAATCTGGAGTTCTGAAAGCCGCCAGCAAAACACCAAACAACAAATATGAAAATACTATGAAAAAAGGCATAAACATAAAATAAAGAGTATGAAAGCAATATGGAAAATGTGAACATAATGTGAGTCTGTTGTGGAAGATAGTGGAAACGCCGACAAACAGCGAATCACAAGAACAAGCATGTGCGTCTTGCTCTTTGTGTTCCTAGAGCTTTCTAAATTTTCAGAATTCGGTCAGTCGCGAAGGGGCACCGGAGGAGCCCCTTCCCGGACCGGAACTTTGACAGCTGAGAGTTTCGTTGCAAACTGTGGAAAACACCGAAACACACCGAAATCACAATCGCTGAAACCCAAACCATACTTTATTTCATGCTGCCAAACCCCAGCCATATTTGATCCCATATTAGTCTGGGGAGGTAGGGGCTTGTGCAAAGGATGGTCGTTCCTACAGAAGTAAACATACTTTAGACCGGTAAACACTGCTGAATGAAAACAAGGAAACCTCTGGAATCATGTTATCCCTGCACAAAAAACAGCCGGTATTTCTTTTCAAATACACCCAGCTGCTCTTGAAGAAGTTGTTAAGCACTGGCGCGATGGCATCGCGATCCGACTCCACTGTAAAGACTCCCTCGCCAGCAGATTTGACCTCAAGGTCTGGCGACTTTGAGTACTGCTACAACCACTTCTACGACGAGCACTACCAGTACGACATTAACAACGAAGGCGAGGACGACGAGAAGCGGACGAGGACAAATGCTGCGACCCAGTCGCAGGTAGTAGTTGCTGTACTTGGCAGGACTACCACGACGAGCAGAACGAATCGGAGTACTGCTGCTGTTATTCTTGTTTGCAGCCTCATCACCACTGAACCACCACCACCACCACGACGACCACTACGACTAGTGCCATCACCGCCGCTACGGCTGCGACTCCGCCTACTACTACTGCTACGACGACGACGACGAAGACTGCATAGATGCCCACAGAGATGCCAGGAAGGCGTTCTTGGCCCATTTTGCTAAGGGCCTACCATCCGGGCCTTCTACTTGGGTCTAAAACCCAAACCTCAAACCCTGAACTCCTCACTCCGGGTTTAGGGTTTAGGGTGTGCCAAGCTTGCTTCGTGAGAGCGCGTTAGTCTCCAGACGTGCACACCCCAAGACCACTCACTTGCAACTTACAATGCCTGAACCTTTTTATACTTTCTCAAGACAGGTATCCACCTATCTCATGCATACGTTGCTAATTCCTTCTGGGCCCTTCCTCATCGCAATACTGCGAAGCATTGATTCCATTGGCGACGTCTTCGGCCCAAGGGTTTCCGCATCGGCAGTCTTGGACGCAAAAGCTTTTTTGTGTGCTCGCAGTGGCATGACTTCGACCGTCTTGTACCCGTCGTTTGGGTCCTGCTCGTGGGGACGTGGGCGACGTCGTCGGCTGAAGGCCGTCGTAGTGATTCCTGCCACTCTCGAAGACTCGAAAACTGTCGTCCCTACAACGGTGCCGCGTGAAATCCTTCTGCGCAGGAGCGCCCGCCCACCCCAAATGTAACATAGTCTATAGGGTGGCAGGCGGGTTCTACTACTCACCCTAATCCCTTAACCCGACACCCCAAACCTTAAACCCTTCAACCCAAAGCCCTCAACCCAAAAAGCGCTTTTCTCGACCAAAGAGCCGAAGTTTCGACTTTCATCTCCAGGTGCACTGGGCTCTTCACCTCCGTAGGGATCTGTTAAGAGCAGACGGGCTTCGGGTTAGGATTTCTAGTTTGGGGGTTCGGGGTTACTTTGGGGCTTTGGGCAAAAATCCTGCAGTTGAGTTCGTCAAGGGCTCAGAGTTCAGGGTTGAGGGCGTCAGGCAGCAACATGAGAGGTTCAGGGCTTCGGGTCGTGGATTCAGGCGGCTAGAGCCCGGAGGCTACAGTGCTGAATCTACGGCATAGGATACCTACGGCTGTTTACGCCCAAGCTCGGTAGCCATCTCGACTGCGTGGCTTGGCTTTGAAGCTCTAGGGTCTTTTTCGAATCAAAACCTACCCTTCGTACAGCGGTCCTAGAGGCGTAGATGCCAGGCACGTGCTCATATGTACGCTTAACATGTGAGGCTCAATGTTTTTGTTGCTTACGGCTTATGGCTCATGCATGTAAATTCGGGGCTCCGCTCGGCCTCACATGCAAGGGGAATAGTACTTAAAAGAGCTCGAATCTTGGAAACCAAGAAATTCAAAGAACACCAATCCCACTGTACAAGCCACGACGACGCTGCACACGAAGAACCCTGAAGCCCTCACCACCAAATCGTAAACCCTGAAAACCTAAACCCTGCCTTAACCATACCCCCTGAATCTCTCGAACCCTAAACCCAAACCGCCTGAATCCCTGAAACCCTAAACCCGAACCCCCGAAAACTCTGAAACCGTCAACCCTAAAACCTTTGCGGCCAGGGTACCAAGATGCAATCTGGCACTTTGGAGGACAGCTCCTGGGCTTTGAAGCGACCGAGGACAAAAGAGTTATAAGCTTTTCTTTCATAATGGTTCCTTTAAGGAACAAGTAACTAAAAAACATGAAATATATGGTATAAACCCTATTTCTTCATGGTTCTTTTAAGAAACAGGTACCAAAAAAAGGCATGAAAGTTTGGCACTCCAGAACCCAGGTTCACGCACCGCCAGCTCTACGCGACACCAGCCACCTCAAGAGCGCTCCACAGGAGGGCTTGGAAAGGTTTCATCTGTGGCTTAAGCGATAGGGTTCAAGGATGCGGGTTTAAGGTTTCACCTAGACCCTAAACCCGAAGGGTTTAGGGCTCAAGGCTGAATTCCCTAAACCCTAAACCCGAAGGGCCCAGGGCTCAGGGTTTGGGGATTGAGCCTCAGTTTACCCTAAACCCTAAACCCTAAACCAAGCCTTTGCGGGGGAGTGGTTCACGGTTTTTGGCTTCGGGAAGCTGAGCGTCGGGGAGGTTGCATAATGAAAAATCCTAAATAGATGCTAAATCGAGTATAATACGCTTTAGTATACTGTAAGATACTATAATAAATATACTATAATATACTATAATATATTAGAATATACTTGAATATACTAGAATATAGTATAATATACTATGCTTAAGACCCCACTCTAAGGAAGAACTTTTTCGCTACATTCTCGAACCCCTAACGATCCCTCATCGAGGCCCCTTTACAGGAGCCCGCTAAAGGAAACCTGAAACGATGCCCATTCTGACGAAACCCCGACTCCCTGAGCAGATCAAGCAAGGCACGACTGGACCACGTGGAGTGGCTCAAGAGGCTTTGTTTCCTTGCGAGCAGCGCGAGCCGTGGGAAGATGAAGAACTGCCGATGATGCTGCTGATGCTGGGTTGGATGCTGACGGTGGTGACGACGACAACGATGGTGATGGTGATGGTTCTGATGCCCACCATGACGACGACGGTGGCGAATATGATGAGTGTAGTGACGATGATACGGATGATGGCGAAGACGAATACTGTCTCGATAAGCTCGTCCTTTGGTACGGCGTCCTTCACAGCGAAGCTGGTCGCTGTCGTCGGGCTGCGTTCGGCTGACGCCGCGGATTTCGACTCTTTTGCTATGCTTTGTTGTAGCTGCTGTCGCTGCAACTCTTGCAGCTGCTACTTTCGCTGTGGTGGTTGCTATTGCTGTTCATCTTGCCGCTAGTGTTGCTCTTTGCTGCCTCCCTCGCACCGCTGTTGCTAGAAACGCCGCTTGTATATAGCAAGATATAGCAGCTTATAACCATGTCTAATAAAAACTTCTAGCTACATAGAAAGATATCTTTATATATGCAATAGGATATACAATGTATCACACATAACATAGTATATGCAATATACCATGAGAGCATAAAATGTATCATACAAATATGTACCGTATAATATACAACATGGCGCGATGCATATGTGTATATATAATATATAGCAGACTATAACAAACCACATGTTTCAGAAGATATATGATATCATATATGTATATATATATATATACTTATATATATATATATATCCTAAAGCTGGAGTACATACCATCTATAGCACATCCTATATATTGTAGCTCTACGGATGCTTCCAGAAGAGCATGAAAATGGCCGAAACTCCCAGCCCTAAACCCTAACCCCGCCCCCAAAAGCCCTGAAGCAGGATGGATTAGTGCCTTGATGCCAAGAAGCACTAAAGCTTGGGGTCCTGATTGTAAACACCTATACACATCTTTAAGGCCTCAACTACACAGCTCGAAGCCCTAAGCACACCACATGTGGATGCATGTATTTACATATGTATGTATGTATGTATGTATGTATGTATGTATGTATGTATGTATGTACGTATGTATATACATATACACACACACCCTTAGGAACCGGCAGGTCCGAGCGTCTCTCTGCTTGTCAACACCGGACAGAGGGCCAAAAAGAGGTCACTCTGTGCGATGTAGGCCGGAATGCTATTAACGGCATCCCGGAGCGCAGACTGCTCCGTGGGAACACCTGGATTTTCCTGGCCTTCCAGCTGTGGACCTGGAGGCGCTGCACTGGCTTGGGATGTTTCGGAACCGACACTGAAAGCCATTTCCGATACCCCGGCGCTTCTACAATCCTACACCCCGAACCCCGAAGCACCCCAGATACCTAGGACCCAGCCCCTAAACCCTCAACACCAAGTGCTCAGGCATAGGAGAAGTAGTCAAGGTTCCCTCGTATGACGAAGCCAACCAGTTCTGAGACAGCAAGAAGGCTAAGCAACAACAATCTTTAGACCGCTCAGATTACATTCCGTGGTGATTCAAACCCCAAACCCTCAACCCTTAAAACCTAAACGCTCAACCACCTAGGCACAGGAGAAGTATTTAGCACAAAATAGAAAAGCCTCAAAACCCTCCTGTTCGAGGCACAATGAAAGTAGTCCCTAAACCCTACAACCCTGAAACTCTAACGCCCAGGCACTGGGCACAGAAACCCGAAGCCGTAGACCCGAAACCCTAAGTACCCAAAATTACTCTGAGGCATAGGAGGACCGTAGTACGTTGAAGATCAGTTGGCATAATGACCTCAAAACACTATTCTTCAAGGCACAAAACAAGTAGTCCCTGAACCCCAAACCCTATTCGCTAAGGTACAGGAGAAGTCGTCACAATATCTGTCTATGGGTTCCCTCAGAAAACTCCAGAAAGAGGCACAGAAGTAAGAGTCCCGACACCCTCCGAAGATAATTGTAGTATAAAAACCCTCAACACCCAGTTCTTCGAGGCACAGGAGAAGTAGTCCCTCAACCCTAACCTCCGAAACCCCGCCATCCCTGGTGGGCTCCCTCGTAAAACTCCGAAACAAGGTACAGGAGAAGTAGTCATACCAAAAGAAGATACGGTCTGCGTGAGCAAGCGCGCAGGTCGACTCCGCAGCTTTCGATAGCCCGATAGACCTTTGACTGTTGGGACTTGAAAATCCTTTTGAGCTAGAGGGCGTTATGGGGCCGTCTAGGCTTGCTTTACGGTCTTGTGCGGATTTATCGGGTTTTTTCAGGGGAGGTTTCTTGGATATGGGTTTTTTGATCCAGAAGATCTACTAGAGGGCCGGCCAAGAAGGGGATGTTGCCAGAAATAGCTCTAAGCCCCAAATCCCAAACCCACAGCCCTAAACCCAAAACACCATTGCACGGGACTCAGAGAGCGGAGTTTTCGTCGATGGAGAGCTGGGTCAGGGCTTCGGGCCTACGGCCTACTGTAGTATTTAGGCGTCGCAGTCCTAAAGCTGAGGTTTAGGGTTTAGGGTTTAGGGTTTAGGGTTTAGGGTTTAGGGTTTAGGGTTTAGGGTTCTTCTTGGTTTGGGGCTTAGGGCTTCGTGCTTCGGGGTTGGTTTAGGGTGTGGGGCTGTGGGTCTCAGGCTCAAGGGTTTTGGGGCTTCGAGCTCGGGAGTTTCGGGTGTTGGGGGTTAGTTGGGGTTTAAAGGTCAGGGCGGTGTGTGGCTTCATATTGAAGCCTTGATACTTAGAAGGTGGTTTCGGAAGATATCGTATAGCTATACTAAGGAGCCCTAAAGAGCGGGATTAGTAATTATGCCTGCTTCTTGTTCTGACTCCTGCTGCTTTCCTTCACAAGCTTGACAGGCTCCTCAAAGCTGCAAAAGCCTGCTCAGGAAGCCGTAGGGGCAATTCGGTGGGCATGTCCACCATGACTCTTGCCTTTCCGGGCTCAAGGAAACTCGAAGCTTGAGGACTTCGGACTTAGGGGGTTGCGCTTCGGGTTCAGGATTCAAGACTTCGGGTTGCGGGCTTAGGGTTAAGATCTAGGACTATGGGTTTGGGGCTTAGGGTGTAAGCTTGCTGGTTTGGGTCTTACTTCCGGGATTCAACAGCAAGCCTCCGAGCCTTGGAATCGAAAGGCGAGCCCGAAGCTCTAACCCTAAACCCGAAACCTCTAAACCCTAGACCCAGGCATGTCAATCAGATGTGCTGTGAGGTTTGGTAGATTTGACCACATGTTTCGCGAGGTCAAAAGGTCTTCCTTAACGTCTTGATAGGCAACATTGCTGGCCCTGTGCTTCGACCTGTATCACTCTCATGACTGGGAGGTTATGACTGCCATTGCTACTCATGTTATTCTAAGCAACGTTCCCGCTACGTTAGACTCACCCGTATTCACTCAGGAGCAAGAGGAACAGGCAGTCATAATTCAGGGGCCTTGTTAGCAAGAACTGCGGTGTCGGGGACCAATGTACTACATCTATAATAAGGAGCCCTAAGGAACAGTGTTTACAAATTCTTCAAGCCCCTACATTAGTCGTGGTGGTGGCCGCAAGGCAGTGTGTCCCACACAGAAGCAGCTTCGGGCGTCGAGCTATCGATTTGGGCCGCAGGCCGAAAAGTCTTTAGCAACAAAAAGCTTGAAGCCGCCCATGTCGCCCTCTAAGCTCTTCATAACATCCTAAAGGAACATACTTACACAGCCCTTGATTTCAACTTGAAGGGCCCTGATTGAGCGGAGGAGCCTCGCCAGACAAAACATTCCGCACCGCATCTTGGAGCACCCGGAACTGTCTCATGTCTGGATCCGGGTGCCGTTTGCCAACCCATTCCTGGGTCGAAGGTGGCTTCTGGGGCTTGGGGCTTTGGGGTTCAAGGCTTTTCGGTTTCGAGCTTTGTGTGACCCTAAACCCTAAACCCCTAAACCCTCACCCTAAATCCCTTTCAAGCTGGAGGCTGGGGGATTGTGATGATGCTTTGGATACTTCGAAAGACTCGGCAGCTGGCACCACCGAAAAAGAACCCCAGACGAGCGATTTGAAGGCCAGAACAAGAACACAATGATGTAGGGGCAATAATAGAGGGGCCTTAATAATTAGAATGGGGTTTTGGGACCCATTATACTATAGTTACAACAAGGAACCCCCAAAATAATACAGGTAATTATGCAGGCCCCTACATTACCGGGAATTCCACGTGCCGGAGGATTCGCCCCGCGCGAGCAAATGTGTACCGCCCCCACTCTCCCCCCACAACGGCAAGCCAAGGAACGTGCGCCTGGCAAAAACAGCAATCAAACCTTTTTACGTCGTAAGAAGCCCAAAGTAACCAAAGTACTGCCCCGCCGTTCAGTACCACCATGAGCGAGGCGATCAGGGATTAGGCTTTTTTTTTCAGCGCTCCTTTGTCGGTCCGCCGGTTTAGGACGTAGGATCTCACAGACATCACGAGAAACGGATCATATCTTCTGCTCTGACAAGTCGTCAAGACAAAACTTTAAAAAGAACCACCAAACCCAAGAAACCTGCAAGTCCAAAATCCTCATTGATTGCTTTGGGGTTTGTTCTTAATGTTGCTCTTAATATTGTGATGATGAATACTCTGATGTTTTTGTTCCTATTTCTACTCTTCATACTATTGAGACAGCTTATACTGTTTATGCTCTCTAGTGTTTGCATTGTTCTTCTATGCCCAGGTTCGTGCGAGACGAAGGCAGCTTTGCCAAGTGCCGGGTCAAACTCAGTCACGACACCATCCGCCCGCAGAGCTTCGTGAGGTCTCATAGACGTCATTTTGAGTAGGTCCTGCGGCTAAGGTTCAGGGTTGACTTTGCAATGTCAAAGCGATTCCACAGACAGAATCGTTGGTTGACGTCAATTCATAATGATCCTGTAGTCTAGTCTCCAAGCGGCTGCTTCGAGACTGTCCGAGAGACCCGCATGCATAAACCCTCAATCCTAAACCCAAGACCGGATAAGACCCATCTTGATCTTACCCTGCCAGAAAGACTTCTGCCATCACCTACGACACCCTTCTGGCAACACCAAAACTACAGAGACAGTGAGGCTGTGCCTCCCCGAGCACGGTGAACATCGGGAAGGACGCGGAGGCTGCCTTGAGCAGTTCCACGGATTCGGCGTGGCGGGCCAGGGAGGACTCCGACTGTTGCCGTAGACTCCCTCCTTTCAGGGAGAGCTCGGACTGTTGCCGGAACATCCCCCCCTTCAAGGAGGACTCGGACCGTGTCTGGAGCATTGCTCCCTTCCTCCCTCGCTGCAAAAAGTCTCGAAACTTGAACACTTTAAGATCTTTAAGGTAAGGTTTACGGTTTACAGCAAGGGAAACAGGGGAGGCTCAACTACACAGAAGAGCCTTCCTGAGCCACATGTCTTCTGTCGGAGGTTCAATCAGCTCGGTGGGTTTACGGTTTGGGGGTGTATCAACAGCGAAAAAGAATCTCGCAAGCTTTGTGCATGAATGCACCTGCACTGTGCACAGCTTGATGTTGCAACGCACCAGCCAGTATAATCATCTCAAAATACAAGATCAATTTAAGATACAAGATCAATGCAGCTGCTTTATTTTTGTCTGTGTATGTCCTCCACAAATCATGCGAAGACAGTTAATTCACCAGCAAACGGGCATCTGTACCTGCTTGGGTTCAAAATGCAGAACACGGAAGCGCTTCTTTACAATTCTCAAGTTGAGCAGCATGAGCGAAGGACATAACGAACTAAGGGGTGAAAACTCAAACAGTTACCTGGGCTAGCAACTCCTGGTCGTTGGTCGGCTCTTGCTACAGCCCATACTGAACCCTAAACCCTGAAGTTTGCATCTGTACAACAACTTACTGGTGCTGTGGCTGATGCGAGCGTTCAGATGATGACGATGCTTCTGATGACTGCGACAATCAAACCAAGACCCTACAATCGAGACGTTGACCGGCACAGCCACGCGACCTTTTGCTAACTGACGAGAGGGGTCTCGACTCTTCCGTCGACTGCTTTGACTTGGGACTAGTTCCACCAGTGGCCTTGTGGTCACACTGTGGACCATTTCAAAGGTGAAGTCTAGCACGAGCTTTTGGTCGCGCGCTTCACAGCCTAAGTAAGATGCCTTCGCATTTCTCGAAATCATTCACACCCGCAAGTTGCAAAACCGAAACACGTCCTCAACCACAGACCACAAACGTCGAAACCGCCTCAACCTACATTAAGCCTCAAACCGCACCCCAAGCCCGATCAGATCCTTCGCCTAACACTTGACGATTCTTCCACCAAGTTGGTATTAAAAAGTAATTAGGCTTGTGGTTCAGGTAGGACACCTACTGAAAAACGTTGGGAATGTTACTAGATCGAATCACGAGCACCTACACGACGAATTAAGCTTTCGAGCTGCCCCAAGCTGTGCACCTCCCGCCCCTGGACCCTGCACTGCCTAAACCCAGAAATCCCATCAGGAAGCGATGCTTTTTGGACGTGTCTTTTCCGTCTCAGCCTTCAGGGCTTGGGTAAAAGTTGAGTTTAAGGTAAATGACCCAGACTCCTAAATGCTGACAAGGGTTCAACCCGAAACGATCAGCCCGATTTCGAGAAACGCCCGTGGCTGCACCGGTGAACGGCTAACGGTATGCAGCATAAAGCCGAGCCTTCTCCCTGTAAGATAGGCGAATTGATGCTCAGAATAGCATCTTGGAGCATACTCTACTGCAAATACCGGTACGCTCGCTTGCATGCGTTTATATACATATATATATATATATAGTGTGTGTATATATATATATATACACACTGCATACGTGTGTATGTGTGTGTTGTATATAATGCATATATTATATACGTGTGTCTGTGTATATATATATGTATATGCATTGATACATGAATGTGTTAGTGACAAGTATGCAAGCATACTCATACACTAACAGTTAGTGTATGAGTATGCTTGCATAC